AGAAGAGAAGAGAAGAGAAGAGAAGAGGATAAAGAAAATATGGAATGGAATGGAATGGAATGGAATGGAATGGAATGGAATGGAATGGAATAGAATAGAATAGAACAGAACAGAACAGAATAGAATAGAATAGAATAGAATAACAAAGTTGGAAGGGACCTTAGAGGTCTTCTAGTCCAACCCCCTGCCCAGGCAGGAAACCCTCCACCACTTCAGACAAATGGTTATCCAACCTCTTCTTAAAAATTTCCAGTGTTGGGGCATTCACCAAGCAGATTTTCACTGACCTTTTTCTACAGTAGCGGCCAAAATTGTGGAAACCCTTTTGGGGAAAGTGTATTTTTGAGGTTTGATGGCTTAAAAACACCACTTTTTGGGGGGGGTGGGGGTTCAAGATAATCCTATTTCACTGCTGGAATGGCCTGGGAATAGCCCAGACCTTCACCCAATTGAAAATCTAGGGAGCCGACTCAAGAAACTGGTTATTTAGAAGCGATCCAGCAATCAAACCCAGTTCATAGAAGCCATCATTCAATCTTGGTTTCACCTGATAACAGCTGCAGGACTCAAAGACTGGGTTCCCTCCATGGGAAGACATTGTAAGGCTGTAATTCATGTTAAAGATTACCCAACTGAGTATTAACTGACACGGGGATCATTTTTGTAGATCTCGTTTTTTTCTATGGGGATCGTTTTTGTAGATCTCCTTTTTTCCTACGTGTTTCCCTTTTCTTCTTTATACCATAACTGCTATTCTAAATAGCAAATCCTTCCTAAAAGTTATTGCACTACATTCTCGATTAAATTATCTTTCCGTTGATATATAATTTTATGGTGGGACTCCCAAAACTATTAGCTAGTATTAAGAAAATACATTTTTTTCAAAAAAGGTTTCCACAATTTTGGCCACGGCTGTAATTCCGGATAAGTGCCCGCCATTAGTTGAAAAGATTCCTGTACATCGGCGTGAGGAGCAATAAATTAAATTTAAATGGCCCTTCAGGTGGGGAGCTGATCTTTTCCACCTGACGTACCTCTTTTGCGACCTTCTGACAATGCCAGATTCACTTAATGACGCTGTTACCGGCTCAATAACTTCAGCAATGGAAATATTGGGTTGAATTGTGGTCATAAGTCGAGGTCTATGTGTATGGTCTGGATTCCCACCAACCCTCAACCCCGTTTCTTCCCCCCGTCAGTTGGGCACCTTCTCCGCGCTGAGTTGTCCGGGAATCTCTTTCATCTTCTGAGCCTCTTCAAAGACCTGCCGGAAAGAATATTCCGGAGAGTCGATGGTGACGGTGAGCACGGCATCGTACGCCCGGCGTAACTTAAGGTTGTCCTCCAGCACTGTGTAGACCTCCTTCTGGTAGGGCAGGCTGTAGGTCAGGGCATCGTAGGGGATGAAAATGTAGCTCCCTTGAGTCATGGCCATCTCTTCGGCCTTCTCCAGGAGGAGGCGCTGCTCCTCTCCGCCCAGAAGGACGGAGTGCATGCACATGATGACCGCTGCAGAGGGAAGGGAGGGAGGGAGGGGGAGACATGAACAAGGAGGAGGAGGAGGAAGAGGAATGAAGGAGAAGGAGGAGGAATGAAGAGGGAATGAAGGTGGAGGAGGAGGAGAAAGAAGAATGGATAAGGAAAGAGAGGAATGAAAGAGAAGGAGGAAGAAGGAAGAAGTTGAAGAAGGAAGGGGAAAGGAGGAGGGATGAAGGAGGAGGAGAAGGAGGAGGAGGAGGAGAAAGAAGAATGGATAAGGAAGGAGAGGAATGAAAGAGAAGGAGGAAGAAGTTGAAGAGGAAAGGAGGAGGAGGATGGAGGAGGAGAGGAGGAGGAGGCAGGAAGGAGGAGGAAGAGGAGAATGAAGGAGGAGGAGAAGGAATGAAGGAGGAGAGAAGGAGAGGAGGAGGAGACATGGAGGAGGGAGAATGAAGGAGGAGGAGGAAGAGGAGGAATGAAGGCGAAGGAGGAGGAGGAGAAAGAAGAATGGATAAGGAAGGAGAGGAATGAAAGAGAAGGAGAAAGAAGTTGAAGAGGAAAGGAGGAGGAGGATGGAGGAGGAGGAAGAGGCAGGAAGGAGGAGGAAGAGGAGAATGAAGGAGGAGGAGAAGGAATGAAGGAGGAGAGAAGGAAAGGAGGAGGAGGAGACATGGAGGAGGGAGAATGGAGGAGGAGGAGGAAGAGGAGGAATGAAGGAGGAGAAAGAGAAGACATGGAGGAGGAGGAGGAGGAGGAGGAGGAGGAGGAGGAGGAGGAATGCAGGAGGAGGAGGAGGAATGAAGAAGAATGAAGGTGGAGGAGGAGAAGACATGAACAAGAAGGAGGAATGGAGAAGGAGGAGGAGGAGGAGTAAGAAGAATGGATAAGGAAAGAGAGGAATGAAAGAGAAGGAGGAAGAAGGAAGAAGTTGAAGAAGGAAGAGGAAAGGGGGAGGATGAAGGGGGAGGAGAAGGCATGAAAGAGGAGGAGGAATGAAGGAGGAGGAGGATAAGGAGGAGAAGACATGGAGGAGGAGGAGGAGGAATGAAGGCGGAATGAAGGAAAAGGACAAAGAGAAGGAATAGACCAAAAAAAGGGGAAGAAGGTGAAGAGAATTGAGAGTTTATCAAAGTCGACCCTGAATTGTTGGGACTGATAAAGAAAAGAGCCCACCACGTCCATCTGAGGGAGCCCATTCAGGCCAACCCAAGTTCCGAAGCCTCTGAGATGCCATCACCAGACCTTTGACCAGGAGCTCCAGAAAGTCCCAAGATGTGCTTGACACACATGCGATGGCCCCCAGGCAACACTTCCCCACTCCTGGCTCCTCAAAGCCCTCCAGAGAAACCCTCCCCAAATAACTGGACTGCCTCCTCTTCCTCTCCACAAACCCCACTCCCTCCTAGCACTGATGGTGTTAGCTGGATGGGTCATGAAACGTCTGCAAGAAAAGCAACCAGCTCAGAGAGCACCAAGGACCGCACAGTCCTTCTCCTTCTCCTTCTCCCTATTCCTTCTTCCTTCTCTTTCTCCTTCTTCTCCTTCTTCCTTCTCCTTCTCTTCTCTTCTCCTTCCCCTTCTTCCTACTCTTTCCTCTTCTTCCTTCTCCTTCCTTCTCGCTCCTTCTCCTTCCCCTTCTTCCTTCTCCTTCCTTTTCTTCCTTCTCCTTCCTCCTTCCCCTTCTCCTTCTTCCTTCTCTTTCCCCTTCTTCCTACTCTTTCCTCTTCTCCTTCTCCTTCCTTCTCCTGCTCCTTCCCCTTCTTCCTTCTCCTTCCTTTTCTTCCTTCTCCTTCCTCCTCCTCCTCCTTCCCCTTCTCCTTCTTCCTTCTCTATTCCCTTCTTCCTACTCTTTCCTCTTCTTCCTTTTCCTTCCTTCTCCTTCCCCTTCTTCCTTCTCTTTCCTTTTCTTCCTTCTCTTTCCTTCTCCTGCTCCTTCTCCTTCCCCTTCTTCCTTCTCCTTCCCCTTCTTCCTTCTCCTTCCTTTTCTTCCTTCTCCTTCCTCCTCCTTCTTCCCCTTCTCCTTCTTCCTTCTCCTTCTCTTTCCCCTTCTTCCTACTCTTTCCTCTTCTTCCTTCTCCTGCTCCTTCTCCTTCACCTTCTTCCTTCTCCTTCCTTTTTCCTTCTTCCTCCTCCTCCTCCTTCCCCTTCTTCCTTCTCTTTCCCTTTCTTCCTACTCTTTCCTCTTCTTCCTTCTCCTTCCTTCTCCTGCTCCTTCCCCTTCTTCCTTCTCTTTCCTTTTCTTCCTTCTCCTTCTTCCCCTTCTCCTTCTTCCTTCTCCTTCTTTCCTTCTTCCTCCTCCTTCCTCCTCCTTCTTCCCCTTCTCCTTCTTCCTTCTCCTTCTCTTTCCCCTTCTTCCTTCTCCTTCCTCCTCCTCCCCTTCTCCTTCTTTCCCCTTCTTCCTACTCTTTCCCCTTCTTCTTTCTCCTTCCTTCTCCTTCCCCTTCTTCTGTCTCTTTCCTCTTCTTCCTTCTCTTCCTCCTCCTCCTCATGCCAAATAATCATACAAGCATTCTTTGTCTGCCCCATTCTTCCCCCTTATAGGAACCCTCTGCAGCTTCGGAGGGAATTTAAATCTTTGGGCCAAGAAAAAGGACATCCTCCATTAAGCAGGGAGAACAAGACGGACTTCCCCTGCATGTCCATCAAGAATCAACCCTAACATCTACCTACCGACAACTATGATTACGGTTTAAACTTCCCACAATTCTACTTAGGCTTCTATCTGTAAGGAGGAAAAGCTGTTTTCAAAAGGGGGAGACATCCTTAATAATGTTTAGTATTCAATCAACCAATCAGAATAGAGCTGGTCCAACCCCCTGCTCAAGCAGATCCTATACCTGTGATGGCGAACTTATGGCACGCCTGCCACAGGTGGCACACATAGCCATATTGGTGGGAACGCGAGCTCAGCTCTGGCGCACATGCGTGCACTGGCCAGCTGATTTTCAGGCCTTCTGGGCCCACCAGAAGTAAGGAAACAGGCTGTTTCCTGCCTCCGGAGGGGCTCGGGGGGGTGGGTGGAGAAGGCCCATTTTTCTCTCTCCCCAGCCTCCAGAACCTTCTAGGCATCTGGGGAGGGCAAAAACAGCCTTCCCCATCCCTCCGGAGGCTGGAAATGGCCCGTTTGCCAACTTCCGGTGGGACAGGAAGTTGGCAAATGGTCTGTTTTTGGCCTCTGGCGGTGTGTGGGGGGAAGGCCGTTTTCACCCTCCCCAGACTCCTAGAAAGGCTCTGGAGGCTGGGGAGAGCAAAAAACAGGCCTTCCGGTCCCACTGTAAGTTGACAAATGGGCCTTTTTCAGCCTCCGGAGGGGCTCCGGGGAGGTGGGGAAGGCCATTTTTGCCCTCCCCAGACTCCTAGAAAGGCTCTGGAGGCTGGGGAGAGCAAAAATCAGGCCTTCCGGTCCCACAGTAAGTTGACAAATGGGCCTTTTTCGGCTTCCGGAGGGGCTCCGGGGAGGTGGGGAAGGCCGTTTTTGCCCTCCCCAGACTCCTAGAAAGGCTCTGGAGGCTGGGGAGAGCAAAAATCAGGCCTTCGGGTCCCACAGTAAGTTGACAAATGGGCCTTTTTCGGCTCCAGAGGAGCTCCGGGGAGGTGGGGAAGGCTGTTTTTGCCCTCCCCAGACTCCTAGAAAGGCTCTGGAGGCTGGGGAGAGCAAAAAACGGGCCTACCATGCCATCGCGTGCCAGGAGCATTGGGGGGGGGGTCGCCCACGCATGCGTGGAGGCAGGGTGCATAGAATTATGAGTGTGGGCACACACGCACATGACACCACCACCCCCGCCGCTCCTGGCACGTGATGGCAAAAAGGTTTGCCATCACGGCCCTATACCGTTTCAGACCAAGAGATGTCCAGTCTCTTCTTTAAAAACCTCCAGTGATGGAGCCCCACAACTTCTGGTGGCAAGCTGTTCCACTGGTTAACTGTCCTCACTGTTAGGAAGTTTCTCCTTCATTCCAGGTTGCTTCTCTCCTTGATCAGTTTCCATCCTTTTGTTTCTCGTCCTGCCTTCTGATGCTTTGGAAAATAAATTGACCCCCTCTTCTTTGTGGCAGCCCCTCAAATACTGGAAGACTGCCATCATGTCCCCCCACCCCCGATCAGAGAGTGGCATTCAGCCGGTTCGGGTCGGTTCGACTGAACCGGTAGTGGAAATCGTCCGCCCACCAGTGGTGGGTTTCTCCCGGTTCTATCCGGTTCTTGCGAACCGGTAGTAAAGGCGGCAGGAGACTCTGCCCATCCTCCCGGACGTCATCATGGATGATCTGCACATGCGTTGCAAACTGGTAGTAAAGTTAAGTAGAACCCACTCCTGCTGCCCACCCAGGCCAGCTCTCTGCCATTCTGTTTAGGCACATTTTTGAGGCTGGGTGCATGAGTGGAAGGCAGGCGAGCGCACAAATCTGGCGTGCGCATGTACAAACAAGCATCCGTGCACACGGCAAACCAGTAGTAACATAATGTGAAACCCACTGCTGCGCTTAATTCTTCTTTTCTTTAGACTGGCCAAACCCGAATCCTGCAACCGTTCTTCGTATGTTTTAGACTCCGGGCCTTTGATCATCTTAAATTGCTCTTCTCTGTGTTGTGGTCCGCCAGCAGCCTGCAGAGCTGGCAGCGGAGTCGGACAGCGATGAGGCTGAGGAAGAACAGGGGCCAGTCCTGGAGGCTGGGGGAGGCCCAGATGAGGGCTCTGCGTCAGAGGCAGAGAGGGGGCCAGGGCCATCGGGGAGTGATGCACGGACCTCGGAGCCTCCAGAGGCTGACAGTAGAGAGGCAGAGGAACAGGAGGATCCTGTTCCTAATGCACGCATGAGAAGAGCTGCCAGAAGGAAAGAGCAGCTCAAGCAAAAAGGACAACTCAGGAGTAAGGCCAAGAGATGATTGGCCCCTCCCATAAGGCTTAAAAGAGACCAGCAACGGCGTTTGGGCTTTGCCGGAAAACAACGTTGGTGGCTTCGTTGTCTCGTCTACGTCTTGTATTTATTTTTGTATCTGGGACTTCTGAACGTTTGCCAGGAAAGGCCGTTGGCAGTTTGCCTAATTGGACCAAGGTTTGCGATAGGACTGAGGAATTTGTGTTGGGAGGAATTTGCTTTCATTTAGTGGAACGACGCTGGGAATGAAGTCAATTCTCAGCTGTTCGAATCAAGTTTGTTTTTTTTTTTCACGGACTGATTTTCCTACTACTTACTCGGGCCCGGGTCACACCACTCTGCTCTTTTTCTGCTCCTATTTTTCTCTTTGCTGCTACGGAAATTAAATAGGAGAGATTGGACAACCGTTTGTTTTGAGATGCTTTAGGATCGTCTGGCTTGGGTCAAGGGGTTGGACCATCTTAATAGCAAGCCAGGTTAGCATATGGAACCGGAGTGGGGTGATATGATTTACCCTTGCGCCAACTCAGAAAGCCCATTCTGCCTCGAGTCAAAAAGAGGGCTGTGAAAATATCTACAGACCCCTCGCATCCTGGACATAAACTGTTTCAACTCCTACCCTCAAAACGACGCTATCGAGCGCTGCGCACCAGAACAACTAGCTAGACACGAGGACAGTTTTTCCCCGAACGCCATCACTCTGCTAAACAAATAATTCCCTCAACACTGTCGAATTATTCACTAAGTCTGCACTACTATTAATCTTCTCATTGTTCCCCCCACCTATCTCCTCCCGCTAATGACTGTATGACTGTAACTTTGTTGCTTGTATCATTTGTACCCTATGGCTATCATTAAGCGTTGTACCTTATGATTCTTGATGAATGTAGCTTTTCTTTTATGTACACGGAGAGTGTATGCACCAAGACAAATTCCTTGTGTGTCAATCACACAATAAAAAATTCTATTCTATTCTATTCTTTGCTGGGGAAGTTGAAATATCTGGATGGGGAGGAACAGGCTCAAGCTCAACCCTTCCAAGACTGAGTGGCTGTGGTTCCCAGCATCCCGATATAGTCAGTTGACTCCATCACTGACTATCGGGGGTGAGTCTTTGGCCCCCGCGGAGAGGGCCCGCAATCTGGGAGTCCTCCTGGATACGCAGCTGTCCTTGGAGGAACATCTGACGGCTGTAGCCAGGGGGACCTTCTGTCAGGTTCGCCTGATTCGCCAGTTGCGGCCTTTTCTTGATCGGGATTCCCTGTGCACAGTCACTCATGCCCTCGTCACCTCGCGCCTGGACTACTGCAACGCTCTCTACATGGGGCTCCCCTTGAGGAGCACCCGGAGGCTCCAACTGGTCCAGAATGCAGTCACGTGGGTAATCACAGGAGCTGCCTGGCGCTCCCACATAACACCGCTCCTGCGTGAGCTGCACTGGCTCCCAGTGGTCTTCCGGGTGCGCTTCAAGGTGTTGGTTACCACCTTTAAAGCGCTCCATGGCATAGGACCTAGTTATCTTTGAGACCGCCTGCTGCTACCGATGACCTCCCATCGACCCGTGCGCTCCCACAGAGAGGGCCTCCTCGGGGTGCCATCAGCCAAACAATGTAGGCTGGCGACCCCCAGGGGGAGGGCCTTCTCTGTGGGGGCACCTACCCTCTGGACTCAGCTGCCCCCAGAGATAAGGAGAATCCAAGACCTCGGTGCCTTCCGCCGTGCCCTTAAAACTTTCTTTTTTCAGCAAGCCGGGCTGGCTTAACATATTTTTTTTTAAAAAAATTTAATTGGTTTGTTATTTTAAATTGGGGCCAAATTAATATATATCTTTTTAATTGCTTTTAATGTTTGTATTGTATGTTTTTATCTGGCTGTACACCGCCCTGAGTCCCTCGGGAGAAGGTGCTGTATATAAATTTGAAATAAAGATAAAATAAAATAAAATAAATAAATATTGGGCTGTTCAACCATGTCTTGGAGAGAAGTTCTCCTGACCAAGAAAGAAGCTGCATGAACATGTGGCTGAGTCACATGGCATGATCCTTGTCATATAAACCAACGTTTATAGAGTCCCAGAGTCAGACAGGATCTCTGCAGCCACCACGTTCAACCCCATCAATCCTGAAATTCAAATCACATGTTCGTTTTATCTTTGAAGCAGGGGCGGGATTCAAAAATTTTAGCAATCGGTTCTCTGCCCAGCTGCTGGGTAGGCGTGGCCATGGTGGGCGTGGCCCAGGGGTGGGTTCTACTTACCTTTACTACCAGTTCAGATCGCCGATGACAACATCCGGGGCGGGGGGCGGGGTTTCCCGCCGGTTTTTCTACCCGTTCTTGTGAACCGGTCCGAACTGGGGGCAACCCACCACTGGTGTGGCCTTCTCGGCCTCCTGCACCACAGCGGGAGGGGGGGCGTTTTCACCCTCCCCACGCTCCGGAGGTGTCAGCACGTCAAGATGCATTTATCCTAGTGCTGACATGAGAAGGAGAATGCAAGTGTCTGCAACGGGACGGTTGCCTTTCACCTACTTATTTTAGCTGGAGATAATGTCCCCTAGGAGATGGATGGGAGGGGGGAAATTCTTTGAATTGGAGCAGTAGATTAGGGGTGAATGATTGGGAAGATGGCCAATGAATGCAGAGGAGTGGGGGAAGGAAGAGGAGGGATTTTGGGCCAGCACATCAGTGCTGGCTGCATGGAGTCAGTGTAAAAGTCGCCGTGCTAAATAAAATGAAAATAAAATAAATAAATAAAAAGTTTCAAAAAGGACTTTGTTTGAGACGCAATTTATTTGAAGACGGCCTGAAAACCTGACAGGAGGTTTCCTTTGAGCCTCCGGGAGGGCGAAAACGGCCTCTCCTGGGCTCTGGAGGCCCTCCGGAGGCCCTCCGGAGGCAAGAAACAGGCTCGTTTCCAAACTTCCGGAACTTTCGGGAGGCTACATTGTCCTACTACGAAGAAGGTGTTTTCCCCTCATGGTCTCCTCGAATCAGCTTTGGATCTAGGAAAAGAGGCTTTCAATGTCTCTTTTTCTGGTGATAATTTTTGGAGTAAATGAGAAGCTTGAACCGGCCAAGCCAAGCCAGAAGTGAAGAACTCATCATGGTGGACTTCTTCACCTCAGAAAGAAGAATGAAAGGTAGGTTTCAATCTTCTTCCTGTGGTACTTTTTGGAGCAAATGGAGAAGCTTGAACCGTCCAAGCCAAGCCGGAAGTGAAGAAGCCATCATGGTGGACTTCTTCACCTCAGAAAGAAGAATGAAAGGTAGGTTTCAATCTTCTTCCTGTGGTAGTTTTTGGAGCAAATGGAGAAGTTTGAACCATCCAAGCCAAGCCAGAAGCGAAGAAATCACCATGGTTGACTTCTTCACCTCAGAAGAAAGAATGCAAGGTACATTTCAATCTTCTTTCTGTGATCATTTTTGGAGTACGTGAGGAACTTGAGTCATCTAAATCAATGGTGGACTTCTTCACCTCAGAAGGAAGAATGAAAGGTAGGTTTCAATCTTCTTTCTGTGGTCTTTTTTTGAGTAAATGAGAAGCTTGGACCATCCAAGAAGTGAAGACACTACCATGGTGGGCGTCTACATCTCAGAAGGAACCATAAGGTGACCTGAAGCCCTTTCTCCTAAGACAGACTCCATATCTTTCAAACCTAGGGTTTAACCCCCTTATGTTAGATCTCGCATGGGAAACATCTGCCCATTGCAACCATACCTCGTATATTGTTGGCCTTCTTGATCTTTTGAAGGGCTTCCTCCACCTCACTCGGGTCATCATCCATGGTGGCCATTACGGTAACGGGCAGGCCGAAGTTCCTCAACGAGTCGGCTAGGCCTTGCCCCACTTGGACCCAGAGGTCTTCTTTAGAGGTGATCACAGCCACGTGAGCCCACTGGAAGTGCTTAAGGACAGTGTAGAGCACAACGGAGGCCTGAGGTAACGGCCGCACAAAAGTCCCAAAACGGCCAACCTCAGCGTCATCCGTCAAGCAAGCCCAGGAGACGATGGGCTTGTTCCAAGTTTTACCCAGCATCCCAGCTGCCTGACAGGCCGTCGGGTTAACCGGGCCTACGAAACCAGAGGCGTAATATTCCGCGTTGACTAAGGCCACGAGGGCCTTGGAAGTCTGGCAGTCTTCGTTGACGAGGACGTAATCAAACCAGTATCCCTTGTTTAAGGTTGGGTCCTTGTTGATCCGACTAACAGCCAACTTGGCCGCTGCGTCGGGGTAGGCTTGGGCGTAGATGGAGTCACACTTCCAGGGACCTATCACCCCAACTTTGAAGGTAGTTGCGTGGATGGTGAGAGGAAGGCGAAGAACCAGAGGCCAGAAGAGAAGGGGCCACCAAGGAGGCCCTCTACAGTAGGTCCACCTCGGATGGTTGGAGAGCCAAAGCAGGAAACCCATCCAACTTCGGGTCATGTTGTCGTCGTGGATTTAGGAAGCGATCTGGCGGAGTGGCAAGGAAGGGAAATTGGAGAAGGCACCGAACTTCAGTTCCTCAGGGACCAAGTCCAGAAATCTTTGGGCCCATCTCCTGCCATCAACTTGATCAAGGGTGGCTCTTCACCGTCAAACGAGGGAGAGAGGAAGGGAAGGGAAGAAGGAAGGAGGAAAAGAAAGAGAAGAGGAGCATGAGAGCAGGCTGGAGAAGAATTCAGAATTCCTCCTGGCTTTTCCTACACTTGCAACTAATTTGATGATATTTGTTCTGCCCCAGCTACGGACCCCAAAGAACGCAGCACACACAAAGTCGGTACGAACCTTAGTTTACTAAATTATTCTTTTTCAAACAAAGGCTGTTAATTAACTTTCTTAAAGCCTACAAGAATCCAAAGAATAAATAATCGTAATCTTACTATGGTTGGCAGAAAGCCCAGAAGCAATTTGCAGAGAATTACGATCCAGACGACACGAAGGAGAGTGAACGAAGTTGTTCCCTGCAAATTGCCTCAGTCATCGTCCTTCCTTAAATAGGCTAAGGGAGTGGCCAATTAGCCCCAAGCCTTACTCTTGAGGAGACCTCCTCCTGAGGAGCCACTCCTGCCTTTTAACAGCTCTACGCGCTCGTGCATTGAGAAGAGACTCCTCCTCTTCTTCCTCTTCACTTATGGGAGCTTCTGGAGGCCCTGGCTGAATCCCCGCCTCTGGCACCACATCTTCTCCAGCCTCCTCACTGTCCGACTCGAGTGCCAGCTGCACAGGCTGCTGGCGCAGCACCACACCAGCCTCCTCGCTGTCGGAATCAGCTACTAGCTGCACAGGCCACTGACGGGCCACAACAATATTGGAAAAAAGGGTTTTACTCACAGGAAGATGGATAGAGTGAAAATATGTCAAATATCCCTATAAAATTGCATTGAGACCCACCATCTCAATGATGACACCGTATTTAGATTATTGGTAGACAAGAAGATATCGAATCTGCAGCATTAGCTCCATAATAGGCATAACCCCCCAAAATGTTGGACCTCCAAAGATCGACTCTCGTCCACTCCAGGTTTCCACTCCTGCTTCGAATGTTCCAGTAGTGAGTTTCAAATTTTTTTACTACCGGTTCTGCGAGTGTGGCTTGGTGGGCGTCGCGTGGCTTGGCGGGCGTGGCTTGGTGGACATGGCAGGGGAAGGATACTGTAAAATCTCCATTCCCACCCCACTCCAGGGAAAAGGATACTGTAAAATCTCCATTCCCACCCCACTCCAGGGGAAAGGATACTGCTCAGTCAGGAAACCGTATACCATTCCAGACAAGTGGCTGTCCAGTCACTGCGGTTAGTAAGTGAGTCACATGGTTGTTAAGTGAATCTGGCTTCTCCGTGGAGAAGTGTATGCCAATTCCAGGGTGGGTGAAGACGGCTTCAATTCAGAGACCACCGAACAGGCTTCTAACTACCCTGTTTCCCCGAAAGTAAGACCTCCCCTGATAATAAGCCCAATCGGTCCCCGCCATTTCCTCTGGTTAGGGTTAGGGAGAAACAGCTGGAAATCAGAAAAGACGGCAAGAGGAGCCCCGTCTTGCTCCACGCGCCCCAAAATAATAAGACCTCCCCGAAAATGAGACCAAGCACTTATTTCAGAATTCAAAAAAATATTAAGACAGGGTCTTATTTTCGGGGAAACACTGTATGCTAAAGCGAATTCTTTTCAATCTAACAGCCTTCAGGAAAATTTGGTAGCCGCCAAGACACACGCGCACCCCGAAAAATATCACCAAACAGGAATCCGTAAAGATTTCCAGCTCACGCCCATTCCGGTTTGATAACATTTCACAATCTTCTGGTCCCTGCTTCTTAGTAAAGGCTATTTCGCTTTTAAATAGAGCCTGACCCATCTTCTAAATGAGCTTGGAGACATAAGAATCCATCCAGGGAGATTTAAGGAGTTAATCTGTCCCTTCGGGTCTTATTTTACATCAAGCCTTGATAACCGACGAGATTAAAATAACTCTCTCGCGCGGTAAAAGGCTCCCTCTTCTGTAACCCTGGCTTGTGGAGTCAAGGGAAGAGAAGAGGCGTAGCTCAAGGTGGAAATGTGGGGTCCTTGGAGCGCTCTGAGGTTGGGGGGTTTTCTTACAGACGTTTCGGGACCCAACTAGGGAACGTCATCAGTGCTGGGAGGGAGTGGGGCTTGTGGAGTGGAAGAGAAGAAGGGGAGGAGGAGGAGGAGGAGGAGGAGGAGGGGGAGGAGGAGGAGGAGGAGGAGGAGGAGGAGGAGGAGGACGACGACTATGGGATTCTTGGTGCTCTCTGAGCTCAGCAGTTTTCTTACGGACGTTTCATGAGCCAACGAGGAAACATCATCAGTTCAGAGAAGATGGAGAGATACCTACAGTGTCTTTTCAACTACCCTAAACCATAGTTCCCATCTCCAGAAGGGAGCCCTGTTCGATCACACCAAGGACTATCCTAATTCAGAATTGATTTCTCATAGCAACCCACCAGATCCTCCCAGGGGCTTCACTGGTAGGAGATATAGAAATGTTCTCCTGTCCTACTGATGTCCCCTTGCAAGTAGCATTTGGTGGCATCTGCTGCCTATCCCAGAGGTAACATGGAGTCTTCTTCAAGAGTTCCAGCCTTTGATTAGATGGATCCTCCAAATAGGTCTCTAATCCCCCTTGAAACACCCCCCCCCCTCAAGAGGGTGACATCACCACAGAGTTAGGAACTTTGCATAAAGGTTCAAGAATACAAATTCCTGATGTATCCAATCACACTTGGCCAATAAAAAATATTCCATTCCATATTTTCTTTATTCTATTCTATTCTATTCTATTCTTTTCTTTTCTATTCTATTCCATATTTTCTCCTCTCCTCTCCTCTCTTCCCTTCCATTCTATATTCTACTTTTTATTCTATTATTTTCCATTCCATTCCATATTTTCTCTATTCTATTCTATTCTATTCCATTCGATATTTTCTATTCTATTCTATTCCATATTTTCTCTTCTCCTTTCTTCTCTTCCTTCCCTTCTATATTCTTTTTATTCTTTTCTATTCCATTCTTATTCCATTCCATATTTTCTTTATTCTATTCTATTCTATTCTATTCTATTCTATTCTATTCTATTCTTCCATTCCATTCCATTCCATATTTTCTATTCTATTATTCCGTTCCATTCCATATTTTCTCTATTCCTATTCTATTCTATTCTATTCTATTCTATTCTATTCTATTCTATTCCATTCCATTCCATATTTTCTATTCTATTCTATTCTATTCTGTTATTCTATTCCATTCTATTCCATATTTTCTATTCTATTCTGTTCTGTTCTGTTCTGTTACTCTATTCCATTCTATTCCATATTTTCTATTCTATTCTATTCCATTCCATATTTTCTATTCTATTCCATTCCATTCTATTCCATTCCATATTTTCTTTATTCTATTCCATTCCATTCCATATTTTCTTTATTCTATTCTATTCTAATTATTCCATTCCATTCCATATTTTCTATTCTATTCTATTCTAATTCTATTCCATTTCATTCCATATTTTCTTTATTCTATTCCATTCCATTCCATATTTTCTTTATTCTATTCTATTCTATTCTAATTATTCCATTCCATTCCATATTTTCTATTCTATTCTATTCTAATTCTATTCCATTTCATTCCATATTTTCTTTATTCTATTCTATTCTATTCTATTCTATTCTATTCTATTCTATTCCATTCCATATTTTCTATTCTATTTTATTCTATTCTATTCCATATTTTCTCTTCTTCTCTTCTCTTCTCTTCTCTTTTCTCTTCCCTTCCCTTCTATATTCTACTTTTTATTCTGTTCTGTTCTTTTCTATTCCATTCTATTGCATTCCATATTTTCTTTATGCTATGCCATGCCATGCCATGCCATCCTATCCAATCCTATCCTTTTCTCTACTCTACTCTACATTGACTCCAGGACCATTCCAACATTTTGGTGGGGGGAAAGAAAAGAAGACGACGCCATCTTGAGTGTTCAACAATTATCAAGCGCAAATTCACGAAAGGAGAAAACTCCACCTCCTGCAGAGCGAGCTGCGATCGAGCTGCCTTCTTGGCAACCATGCTCCCTTCTCCCATGCTTGTGTTTTTTTAAAAAAATAAATAAATAAATAAACTCCTTTTGACCTCCGAGACGCAGTCACACCGCTTCTTGGCCACCCCTGGAAAGTGATTCACCATTATTTATTTTTCAGCGTTTTGTTTTTCCAAGATCTCAGTCTTGGGCTTGATTTGACGCCCCGAGTCCAAGTTGGGTTGGCCGAGTCCCAATAGTTGTTGAACTTCCCACCGATACCCATTGCCAATCCGGTAAAGTAAAAGCGTTTCTCAATCTTGGGGACTCGGAAGATGGGTGGGTGGACTTCAACTCCCAGAATCCCCCAGCCAGCTTGAGAAACGCTGCTCTACAGGACTGGCAATGGGCATCGGTGGGAAGCCGGCTGGAGGATTCTGGGAGTTGAAGTCCACCCATCTTCATGGTCCCAAGGTTGAAAAACACTGGTCTACAGGACTGGCACTGGGTATTGGTTCTGAAGCTGACTGGGGGATTCTGGGAGTTGAAGTCCGCCCATCTTCATGGTCCCAAGGTTGAAAAACACTGGTCTACAGGACTGGCACTGGGTATTGGTGGGAAGCCGGCTGGAGGATTGTGGGAGTTGAAGTCTGCCCATCTTCATGTTCCCAAGGTTGATTAGCGATGGGTATTGGTGGGAAGCTGACTAGGGGATTCTGGGAGTTGAAGTCCGCCCATCTTCATGTTCCCAAGGTTGAAAAACACTGCCGTAGAGTACACAAATTGGATCCAAACAACCTGTAAACTGTGCCAATTGCTTGTTGTGTAACTGCGGGCAGCTGCGTAAGCTGTCTCGATGCTTCTCCAGCCGGCTTCTTTATGTCAGAGACGGAAGACACGTGAAAGAGTCAGGTGCAACGTATCATAGTTGCAAGATAAGACCCTGGTGAACGTACCGATGGGCTTGAAAGCCCACCAGAGAATCACAGAGATGTAAATTGGACAGTCGAAGAAAACAGGACATCCTGGCAAATAATTTCTAGAGTTTTGACACAAAAACTACAGGGACGCTCTCAATGTAATAGGAATTAGGACGATACGGAGTGCATCGTAAGAGCATCGTTTCTTGATAAATCAGCTGCTAAGATCATCGTCTCTTGATAAATCAGCTAAGATCATCGTCTCTTGATAAATCAGCTGCTAAAATCGTTTCTTGATAAATCAGCTAAGATCATTCTTTCCTGATAAATCAGCTGCTAAGGTCATTGTTTCTTTATAAATCAGATGCTAAGGTCATTGTTTCTTGATAAATCAGCTGCTAAGATAGTTTCTTGATAAATCAGCTAAGATCATCGTCTCTTGATAAATCAGCTAAGATCATCGTCTTCTGATAAATCAGCTGCTAAGATCGTCTCTTGATAAATCAGCTGCTAAGATCATTGTCTCTTGATAAATCAGCTGCTAAGATCGTTTCTTGATAAATCAGCTAAGATCATTCTTTCCTGATAAATCAGCTGCTAAGGTCATTGTTTCTTGATAAATCAGATGCTAAGGTCATTGTTTCTTGATAAATCAGCTGCTAAGATAGTTTCTTGATAAATCAGCTGCTAAGATCATTGCTTAATAAATCAGCTAAGATCATTTTCTTGATAAATCAGCTAAGATCATTTCTTGATAAATCAGCTGCTCATTGTTTCTTGATAAATCAGCTGCTAAAATCATTTCTTGATAAATCAGCTGCTAAGATCGTCTCCTGATAAATCAGCTAAGATCAGTTTCTTGATAAATCAGCTGCTCATTGTTTCTTGATAAATCAGCTAAGATCATTCTTTCCTGAGAAATCAGCTACTAAGATCATCGTCTCTTGATAAATCAGCTGCTAAAATCATCATTTCTTGATAAATCAGCTGCTAAGATCGTCTCCTGATAAATCAGCTGCTAAGATCAGTTTCTTGATAAATCAGCTGCCAAGATCATTGTTTAATAAATCAACTGCTAAGATCATCGTTTCTTGATAAATCAGCTGCTTTCCACAGACCTATTCTTTGGCAACCTCACAAACCTCAGGAAATAAAACAGCCATCCCAGTTTCTCGGATTTTTGTAACAATTCTGGCACATGTCACATTTAATAAAACCATGACTAAGTGCAGGCCTCCGAGATATTTTGCCTGGAAGCATTCTTCTCTCTGGGGTCTTCTAGATATCATTTCACCCAACGGGACACCTGAGAAGATGCCAGTTGTTCTCGGAGATGAATAAAAAGAAGTAAAATAGAAGGGGTTTTTTTTTTTGGTTCCCACCGTTTGCTAAGACGTAAGGCGATTTGCTCGGGCGTAGCGAGAAGCCACGGGTTAATCAACCAGCTAAGATTAAAAAGGATGATGTAACATAATGTGTGAACAGGTCAAAGGGGTAAGATTAACCTCTAGGGAAGAAGGAAAAAAAGTAGATTTGTAAAGCAGCGGAGGCTAACACAAGACCTGAAGTTCTGGGGGGGTCTCCGCGGTGAAGGTCACATTTCAGTACCTACACCTCTACTCACACCCCCTAAATCAGGTGGGAACAAGACTGAAGAGACCTCTCAGGAGTTAGAAGCATGGAAAAAGAGGGAGTAAAAACCTGGAGGAGGAAGGTTTGGTCGATTTAAGAGTTGCAAAAATAAAAACAGGTATTTGCAGACCAACAAATATACGTATATAAAAGCACAAACTTCACAAAGTACCATCTTGGGCCCTACTTGAAAAGGAACAATTTGCTAGCTCCTGTTAAGTCAACGTAAATTGGAGTAGAGTTATTTTGTTTTCCCCCAACCGAATGCCTCATTCTAGATGTTTGGGGGGGGTTGCCTCCCATAACTATGGGTGCCCAGTTGGTTTTTTCATCCCCAAAGCAGGTGACATCATCCGCGTGATTGATAAGAGCACTGATGAGGTTACCTAGTTGGGTCATGAAACGTCTGCAAGAAAACTGCCAAGCTCAGAGAGCGCCAAAGACACACACACACACACACACACACACACACACACACACCAATTCAACCCAAATTTTCTCCCTCAATTGTTAAGAGAACTTTGCTATCTCTAGTTTGAAAGGTAACCGTTTTTAATCCCAAAAGCAGAAAAAGGGA